AGCTCTGACCTGACTATCTCACCGCCCCCCAGCAGGGCAGAGACCCACCTCCAAGCCCACAGCTGTGACTGTGCTGTGGGCACTAGTGCCAGGGAGCTTACCACCTGCAGTCCCAAAACTACCCTTGGCAAACCGTTCAGGCCCCTTCCTCACCTGAGTGTGAAATGGGCTGCCCCTCACCAAGCCCCAGGCGGAGATCTGGAGCCCCAGCCCAGCCCTCTCCCATCTGTTCACCTGTGCCCCTGTGCAAAACCAGATGCCCGGCAGAGCAGGGCCAGCCCACTCACGCACCAAGGACGTCAGCTGACCTCTTCCGTTCCACCACCTGGATGTGTCTGGCGCCGGCAGGGATGTGGGTCACCAGGGAGTACCCTGCAGGACGGGCAGTGAACGATGGGTCACCGGGGAGTAGCCCACAGGAGGGGCGTGAGGAGCTGGCTGCTCCCTCTGCTGGGCAGGTTGGCGGTTCAAACCCATGGTCTGGCCTGCGGGAGAAAGAAGAGGCCCCCTGCCCCCGTATGCACGGAGACCGTCCGGCTCTGCCCTCCGGGGTCACCGTGAGTCAGGTTTATATGCTGGGCTTTCTGCGGAGGGTCACCTGCTGCACAAGCCCTCTTTAGAGTATCGGAAAACAAGGAGGTCACTTGGAAGACTAGGGTGCCCCTGACCCGAGCCATGATGTTTGCAATCACCTCCTACCCATGTGAGAGCTGGACATTTGACAAGGAGAATTGGTCCATCTGAACAGTGATGCTGGAGAAGAATACTGAGCACAACGCCGACTGCTGAAAGGACAAACGGATCCGTCTTGGAGGAAGTGTGGCCAGGGTGCTCCTCAGAGACAAGGATTTTGAGTCTTTGGCTCATGTGCCTAGGACCCGCTATCAGGAGTGACCAGTCCTTGGAGAAGGACAGCATGCTTGGGGGATTAGAGGGCAGTGAGAAAGAGGACAGCCCTCCAGGAGATGGACGGACAGTGGCCGCCACCACGGGCTCGGGGCGCAGGAACAGCTGTGAGGAGGGCGCAGGACTGGGCATTGTGTTCTTCTGTTGTGCACGGGCACCGTGAGTGGGGACAGGCCCGATGGCACCTAACCGCAGCAGCTCTGCACTGACGGCATTCAGCCACGGGCTCACCAGACGCCTGAACGTTTCGTAGTCGGCTCCGGTGGGCAGCACCGGTGGGTCAGGTTGAGTGTGAGCTCAGCGGCTGAGGGTGCAGGCCCAGGAGCCTCAGATGAGCGGCGTCACCATTCTGACTGCTCGTACCTGCACGTTGACGATGGAAATACCTGCCCGGTAGAGATGCTGGAGGCATGCACGAGTTGTCTCATGCAGACGAGGCCAGAACGGGTGGAGTGGAGTGGGCGGTCCAGCGCCGCCCCGCTCCCCAAATTGGGAATTCCTGGACCACCTGATTCCAATGCGTGGTGACCTTGTAGGACAGAGGAGGCCTGTCCCAGGGGTTCCCCAGGCAGCGGCCTTCATGGAAACAGCCTGACCCTGGGGTCAGGGGAGAATTACCACCTTTCCAGTCTTCCAAGTGACCGCCTTGTTTTCCATGCTCTAAAGAGGGCTTGTGCAGCAGGTGGCCCTCCGTGGAAAGCCCAGCATATAAACCCGACTCACGGTGGCCCCGGAGGGCGGAGCAGAAGGGTTCCGTGGCTCTCCCTGAGTCTACAGAACGCACGGCCTTTGAGGTCATCACAACAGCCCAGACCCACTTGGCAGCAAGCCAATGCACGGGGGTGAGCCTGCGCCCCCGAACAGGTCTGCGACTTCCCAGAGGAGCCGTGGGGCTGTGGTGCTGAGCACTTCGCAGTGAACCAACAGGTGGGCAGCGTGCTGCACAGGGGAGACATCGCAGCGGTGGGAGCATGTGCCCCCCACCCCCGGCCGTCGGCAATGACCCAACAGCCACAGGTTCGGGGTTTGGTCTGTATGCAGCAGCCACCCAGTCCTTCCTCGCAGAGCCACGGGGCGGGTCTGAACTGCCGACTCCATGGCGCTGGCTCCAGGGCGTGGGGAAAACCACCAAGCGCAGAAGCAAAAGCCGCAGCTGCTGTCTTGTCCCGACTCAGGGTGACCCTGGGGTCAGGGGAGAAGTACCACCTTTCCAGGAGCAAACAGCCTCGGCTTGCTCCCTCAGAGCAGATGCTGGGTTTGAACCGCGAACCCGGAGCTCGGCAGCGGAGCAAAGCATGGCTCCTTAGAAGCTGTGTTGGCCCAGTTCCCTCCCACCCAGAATGCGTTCAGTGCTTCACTGGGGCGGCCGTAGTTTCCTCCCAAAGGTGCCACACGCAGCAGCTGCCTCCTCTCCCCATCCCACCCCCAGCCCCTGCGAGGGCTGGGCCACAGGGGCTCTGGGAAGATAGGGGACCGCTCCACCCTCCAAACTCACTGCGTCCAGTTGATGCCCCCCAGCCCCCCTACAGGGTGGGGTAGAACTGCCCCTGTGGTAGAACTGCCCCTGTGGGTCCCTGAGACAGTGACTTTACGAGAGTTGAAGCTTTGTCTTTCTCCAGAGGCATGACCCAAGGGGGCACCCAGACACGGGGATCAGCCTGGAGCCGATAGGACCCCATACACTCCAGCCACCATAGACCTAGCATCCAGTAGCCCCGGATGCAAGTTGTACGTCTGCAGTGTGGACGGGGCCTCGGTTCCCCTTCTTAGGCATGGCTCGACATCAGCCACCTGCCGAGTGCCCAGTGGCCCTCGACCAAGGGGCCTCGCCCAGCACCCTGCCACCTGCTGGGGTGCCGAACCAGAGGGCCGGGCCTTACCCAGGTGGGCATTGCCCTTGCGGTAGTTGCCGGTGACGTGGGTGCAGCTGCTCCCATTGCCTTGGCAGACGCCGCACTTGTCCAGCGTGTGTGTGGAGAAGAGCACCCCGTCACAGCCGATGG